CCTGTCATTTGTATTTGGCTTACTGAGTGTTTCACTTCCTTCTTCATTTCTGCCTGAGTGTTCTTCAATATTGCTAACTCTTTTCTGAATTCATTCAGAATTTTATCCCTATCTTCCTTCAGTTCTTTGATTTCTTTCTTTGTGTGTTCTTTTTTAAAAAAATACTTTATTATATTTTTATTTTATGTGTATGCGTATATTGCCTGCATGTAAGTTAAGTGCACCCATGCCGTGCAATGCCTGTGGAGGACAGAAGAGGCTGTCGGATCCCCAGCCTAACTCCCCTGGAGTTAGGACAGTTGTTAGCTACCATGTAGGTCCTGGGATTTGAGCCCAGGTCTTCTGCAAGAACAACCAGTGTTCCTACTGGTGACCCATGTCTCCAGCCCCTCTTTGTGTGTTCTTTAAATTCACTGAATTCTTTTATGATGTTTATAATTGTTCTTTTCTGTTCCATGTCCTGTGTTATCTCTAGGGAGTTCTCATTGTACTCCTCTAGAGTATTATTGGTACTTGGTGTGGATATATTATTTTGGTCTTTCATGTTATTATTTTCTCTTTGCCACTTTGACATGTGAATTTCCTTCATAGTTTCTGATTCTTATGTGAGACTCAAGCCTTCCTTTGTTGAGTTTAGATCTCCTTCTTTTAGTAAACATTGTGTGCCTTTGTGGTTTAGTTGTTGGGCATGAAAATCTGGTTGGTCTAGGCTTCAAGTTCTCTCTTTGATTTTACATTGGAGTGGCCTAATTGCTTTTGTCTTCAGGAGTTCCCACAGAGGCCCAAGTGAGATGAGGCTCAACTGATAACAGGCTTTCTCCTAAGGTATGGGTCCCTCCAGGGAAAATGCTGCCCTCAAGAATTTGGGGGCTGGGTTGCCCTGGGAGAAGAGCCCAGGATAGGTGCTGGTCTCAGGAAGCTGGTTGCTCTTCCACCCAGGGAAGTAAGGGTAGGAGAGGGTGGGACCAGGCCTATGAGGGTCCCTGGGGGCCTCAGGGGGGAAATGGGTTGGTCCCAATGCAAAGGATAAGGAAGCAGCAGCAGCTCTTGGCCAAGAAGTTGGCCCCAGTGTCTGGGATGCCAAGAGAAGAAATGGGCCTCTGCCCAGCCTAGGAGGAGAGACTGGGCAGGGGAGCTGGGAGGGTTAAAGAGGCTGGTGGAGTCAAGGCACGCTGGGTGTGCTGGACTTACCCCGGGGAAGGTGCTGGTACCAGGACACTGAAGACTGTACAGCCCAGGAAGCAAAGGGATATTGGTTTGGTTTTTTTATTCACTTTTCTATGGCATCTTGTGTGAGTATCATTTGTGCATTTTGCATAAATGCAGTTAGGCTCTTTTTATATATGTATGTGTGTATGTTTTTGGAGGCTTCTGCAATATATTTTTGTACAACTTTTTCAAAAGACTGTTGGTGTCAACAAACATTCACGTTTGTTGCCACACTATATACAATAGCAAGCCTATATGTCAATCAACAAAGATAATGTGATTTTACTTATACACACAAAATTGAATTTGTTTAGCTATAAAGAAATATAAATTATGTCATTTTTAAGGAAAATTAGTAGAACTGGCTACAATTTGTAAAATGAAATAAGTCGGACTCCCAAAGACAAACCATAAATTTCCTTTCATATGAAAGGTATGGATTTAAACACATAAACAATAGTACATAACACTCATATGACTGAACTGTAGAATAGGTGGGATCTGGGAGAGCAGGTGTCACTATGAAAGGCTTTATGGGAAAAGGACACAAGGGAGAGAAGAATACATTATGTTTTCTGCCATAGGTGAATCTAGCTTACATCAGTAAGATACCCACACACATATGGATGGGACGAAGAAGTCGTACACTGTGAAGACAAAAAGGAGACAGTGGCCAGTGAACTTAGTGTGGGAGTGAATGAACGCCCAGTAGAGTGGCATGCAGAGATGACATGCTGAAAGCATTATTTTATAAAATAACTAAAATTTAACAAAAGTAGAAAGATGACAGTAAAATAAAGGAATAACGTATCATGTACTTCTTAATGTTTAAAGAAGAAAAAGTGGCCATATTAATATCTCATGAATGTAGACATCAGAGAATGAGAGGAGATAAAAGGCACAGGATTCTAGATAAAGATAAAAAGACTGATCAAATGGGAAGACAAGATTCCTAAATGTTTACACTCTAATAAAAAAATCATTAAATGTGAACAAAAATGTATGGGGCTGAAAGGGCAAAAATATAGTATTGATATAACACAGCAAATTTAAGATAAGACCCTCAGGCTAGACCTGTTACCCCATGGTAGAAGGCATGCCTAGCATATCCAAAGCTCAAGGCTCAATCCCTACTACCACATGGATCTGGTTTGGTGGCACAAACCTATGCTCCCAGTATTTGAAGGCTATAGGAAAGAATTTTTTGCTAGACTTGTTATTAATTAATGTTATTATGTTTTAACACTAATAAATTGTGTGTGTGCGCATGCGCATGTGTGTGTATGGGCGTGTTCACGTGGGTGGCTGAAACACATGTACTTGAACATACATATTATCGTTTAAGTGATCCCAGTTTTTTGTCTTAGCACCTCACTAACCCATTTTACATGACAGTCACTGAGATCCAGTAAAGTGTTTCCTGCTGTAATTGTGATCCTTTGCTGGATCCCCGGCCGAAGAGAAGATTCTCTAAAGACAAACAAGAAGGCCCAACCTTTACCCATCAGTCTACAATCTTTACACTTACAGAACAATGAGTTTGCATTTCTGTAAGTATTGAGAGATGGAGAATACCTACAAAGTAATTTTGAAATTTCGTCCACTCTCTACCTAACAAAGAAATGGACTAGCAGCAGCAGTATTGCAAGTCTGCATAGGATACACGTAACAGAAAATGGAGACAGCCTCTTTCACAGATGACCTTGTCTCTAAGAATGTACCGCTAAGATTCTCACACATTCCCACATATAAATAATTGACACTGAGTATATGACTTTTTATATTATTATCATTAATTATTATTCTACGCTCACAGCTGTTGGAGAGCAAATTAGATAAATTTCTCCCCCCTCGATACGCTTGTCCAGGCTAAATTAAATCAAACCATATTTTTACCAATTGGGAGAACTTGGAAACTAAGTCTTCAGGTTTACGGATGTAGGTGTAAAGGCACAATTTTATTTTAATATAGACAAGAGTAGAACAATGATTTATGATTCCCAGTGGTTGGACTGGAGGGAAATATGATCTGTTGAGATGTTTTCCCACAGTTTGACCACCCTTGTCTGACAGTTATATATAATTACAATGAAGAATTTGTAGAAAATAGGACTTTTGATTTTGGAAAGATCTTTCTAACTTTTTAATTGTACAGTTATATGGTCTATTACACAGTTTCATGAGTTGAAGAGTCCCTGGTGGACTCTCACATTTCTGATGTGGAATGTTTGTGCTATTGGTGCCCAACTGTAAAGAAGGCACATTTTTCTATCTTTATAGGAACAGTACAGACGTAGTCCTCCGTTGCCACATGTGATAAAGTTGAGTTTCTCATATTTGGGGAAATCACAGGCATCAGCCCACTGGGAGCTCAATGGATAAGCCTTGCCCTGGAAAAAATCACCCCAGTGATCATGACTCTATCCCTGCCAGACAAGAACAGAAGATTCATTTCTTTAATGTTGTTGGGCTAAACAAAAGGAAGAATCACATTTTTCTTGGCAGATCACATTATTTATTGATCTGTGTAGCTTATTTTTGCATTAATTTCTTCAGATTTTTTACTTAATTTCTATCTCAGCATTTCTGGCATAGAAACCACTTGAAATTATTTTGGTTAGCTTTGCAATAAAGGGGGATAGGAGATAAACTGTTAATGCAGTCTGAGACTTTAACTATGGCAAGGAAATGACCTTTTAAAATGTGCAATAAAGATACAAATACACGGGGCTAGAGAGATGGCTCAGTGGTTAAGAACACAGGCTGCTTTGCAGAAGACCTGGGTTCTATTCCTAGCACCCCATGTGGTGGTGAACAGCCATCAGTAACTCCAGTTCCAGGGGCTCTGACACCCTCTCCTGACCTCGATAGGCATTGCACAACACGGGTGTACTTACATGCAGACAATACACTCATACACATAAAATAATAAGTAAAATCTATTTTAAAAGCTATAAATACATTTCTAAGGATTTCCATAGCAATATTTATAGCTATGGAAATGATCAGTTTATTCTATATTCACGGCCTCTAACCAGAATTCTAGATAAATTTCATGCCTGTCAGAGTTATTTTTTACTAAGTTTATTCATTTGACAGCAAGAGTTCAGAAGACGCTTGTATATTCACTCATAGGTAAGTAGCATCTCACAGAAGCTGTGTGCCTGGTAAACAAACTAACTACATGAGTAAAACCATGACAACAGTATGGGGACAGCAAGGAAAAACTCATGTGGTTCTTCTAAGAATCTTCTGTCTGACCAGAGGACAGGCAAAGGAGAGCATTTGGTGGATTTGAGTAAAAGTGGCTGTGGTATAAATTGGGGTTGTAAAGGGCTTTTTCAAGAAAATTGAAAAAGGATAAGTAAAGAAAAGTAAAGAAAGAAGGTCAAGAATGAATCATTTGTGGAGATTTATGGTGACTTCCAGAAGAATTTCATGTGACAGAGGTTGAGATGTGCACTCCTGTTTCTGGAATACTCTAACGTGGAGAGGACAGTTCACTGAAGGGAAAAAGAGTCATAGATGCTGGTACTGAACCTGGTAATGTGGTGACAATCATCCCAATAGCCACTTACTGAAATGGTCAGTGCTGCTTCCCTGTGAGAGCACCCAGCACTGAAGCTGGCTCCCACGGTAAATTATGAATGTAGTGAACCATGCTCATATGCTGAATGACCCTGTTTCAGCAAACGCTATGGCTAATTGAGCATTAATTAATGACAATCTTGAAATTCATTAATAAAAGCATCAGGGTGTATACACACATATACACATATATACATACACACACACACACACATATAGAGAGAGAGAGAGAAAGAGAGAGACAGAGAGAGAGAGAGAGGGAGGGAGGGAGAGAGAGACTGAGACACTAAAGTGAGTCAGATTTGTGTTAAACTGGAAGTGGGTAATTATATCTACCAAAGATACTTTATATTGGATGACATTAAGCTTATGCTCAGGGTCTGCCTGGGGCACATGGTATGTCAAAGAATTGTAGAAGATCACCTGAAGGCAGGATATTAAATGGAACTTATGCATTCATGGGAAATGAGTCTTTGGGTATGAACCTGTTCACAAGACCCTGACTCTTTCAGCAGAAAACTTTGGGTGATAAACAAGTTTTGCTCACGGAGCCAGCTTGGATCAGCCAAGCACAAGGAGCCATGAAATAGGCCAAGTTCTGTAGGTGGGAAAGTGCTCATTCCTCTACCCACTCCCAGCCAGGAAAGCCATGTGAACTCCACACACCAGCACAGCTCAGGTATGTAGATATGCCTCAAACCCATGACTACTAATGACTCAGGAAAAGACATTTGTACAAATTCATTTTCTCACTAACACAATCAAACACCTGATAAAAGCTACTTTGGTGAGGAAGAGTTTAACAGGGCTCATGTAGTGAGGGTGCACAGTTCACTATGACAGGAAAGGCAAGGCGGCTCAAGCTGGTTTCAGAATAAGGAAGGAGAGATGAACGATTTTGTTCCGCAGCCCCTGTGCCTTGTACTCAGTCTGAGGCACAGTTTATGAAATGGTGCTAACCAAATTTAAGGTGGGTCTTCACCACTAATGTAGCCATTGGTGAGAATGTAGACAGGTACAGGCACTATGGAAATCAGCGTGGATGTTCACAAGAAATCCAGAATTAGATCTAACAAATGGCTCATGCCATCATCCTTGGCAGATACCAAAAGGACTCTTTATCGCAATGCTAAGACCTTGCTAAGCTACGTGCCTAAGGGAATGGAACCAGCCTAGCTATCCATAAACTGATGAACGGATAATGAAAACATGGTATCTATAAATGATGGAATTTTAGTCAGTTCTGAATAAGAAATAAATTTATGAAACGTGAAGGTTAATGCAGCTGGAAATAATCACTCTGACTGAGGGACCAACATGTGTCATTGGGAATCTCTTGTACTATCCTGATCAACAGCTTGATGGGATGTCTCCTTCACTTGATATACATATCCACTATACATATACGTGTGTGTGTGTGTGTGTGTGTGTGTGTGTGTGTGTGTGTATTTCTCATTACGACTTTGAACTAACACATTTCCCTCTGGGTTTTCACACCACCTAAGCATTATTCATCCCTCTTTTCACGCCCCTAGAAGTCTCCCTACTTTCTTCCCAGTTAAAGTCCCCTCCCCTTCTCCGCATCTCCCTCTTATAAACACCAGTCTCCTATTAACCCCTTCACTTAGGCTTCTTCTTACAATTACCCCCATATTTCCTCTGTATTTTTGTGGCTGTTACATCAAGATGTACACTCACTTCTAAGGATTTGGGTTACATCAAGATACATATTCCACAAATGAGAGAGAACACATATCACCTGTTTTTTCAGAGCCCAAGTTATTGCCTTTCCAGATTCATGAGTTTTCCCATTAATTCACTCACCTGTGCTCTTTCTTACCTTTTAATGTAGGTATTTGGAGCTATAAACTTCCCTCTCGAGTGTTTTTAATGTGTCCCAGGGGTTTTGCTGTGTTGTATTGTTATTTTCATTTAGTTCCAGGATTATTTTTATTTCTTTCTAGATTTCTTCTTTGACCCATTCATCATTCAGAAGTCTGTTGTTTAATCTCCACGAGTTCATGTATCTGGTAGCACTCATAACCCTCCCGTGCCCCATTGTGTTTAACATTTCCTATTTCATTATTCCGTTTTAGCTCCTTATATCTTCTGCCTTCTGTCTATGAAACCGCCACACACAGCCCCTTACCAGTTTCCTAACGTCTATGGATTTTAAAATTGGAAAACACATATCTAAAGATTTAAAGTTAGTATCTGCTCAAGAGTGAGAACACATAGTATTTTATTTCTGGGTTTGGACTGCCTTATCCATGATAATTTCCTGTTCCATCAAATTATTTGCAAATTTCATAATTTCATTTTTCTTAACAACTGAATAACATTCCACTGTGTATGATTCTATATGTTCAATGTTCACTTGTCCCTTGATGGATATCAAGGTTCTTACCATGTCCGGGTTATTATGAGTAGAGCAGCCATGAACTTGGATAAGGTATTTTTGTAGTAGAATACAATATTCTTTAGGTATATGCCCAAGCATGGCATGGATTGAGACTATTGTCACTACATTTCTGGCTTTCTGAGAAACCTCAACACAGATGTCTATAGTGGCTAAAACAGTTTTCACTCACACCAGCAGTAAATAAGTGTTACAATTTCCCCACATCTTTGCGATCATTTGTCATTGGTTTTTGGACCATAGCTCTACAGACTACAGTTAATGAAATCTCAAAGTATGCTTCACTTGAAACTCACTGATAGCTAAAGATATTGAATATTAAAAAATATTTCTCGGGTGGGAGAGCTGGCTCAGCAGTTAGGAGCACTGACTACCTTTGCTGCGAACCTGGATTTGATTCCCAGCAACCACATGGTGGCTAAAAACAGTCCATAACACCAGTTCCAGGAGACTGATTCCCTCTTCTGACCTCTCTGGGCATTGCACCACACAGGTGCAGTTAACATACATCCAGGCAATGCACTTATACACATAAAATAAAAATAATAAAATATTTTTTAAAATTTCTCGGGCATTTGTTATTTTTTCCTTTTTTTATCTCTGTTTAGTTCCTTGCCTCAATTTTAATTGAATTTTGTTATGTTTTTGTAGGCTGCCTCTTCGCCCCAGTGATGGTATCCTTTGCTGTATAGAAGCTTTTAATTGAATTTTGTTATGTTTTTGTTTGAATTATTTGTTTATTCTAGATACTAATCCTCTGTTATATGCATAGTTGGTCAAGATTTTTTATCATTCTGTAGGCTGCCTCTTCGCCCCAGTGATGGTATCCTTTGCTGTATAGAAGCTTTATCATTTCATGAGGTCCCATTTGCCAGTTGCTGGTCTTGATGCTTTGCAGTTGGGTTCCTTTCCTTTAAGCACCACTGTATTCTCTGCCTTCCTCTCCATCGGATTTAGAGTATCAGCTCTTATGCTGAGAGCCTTGATCCATTTAGGGATGAGTTTTGTGCAAGGTGAGAGATGAGAATCCACTTTCTTTTTGCTACATGTAGATTTTCAGTTTCGCCAGCATCATTTGTTGAACACAATGCCTTTTCTTCAGTTTTTATTTTTGGACCTTTGACAAAAATTGGGTGGCTACAGGTGTGTGGACTTAAATCCAGGTCCTCTTTTCTACCTCACTGATTGTGTCTCTTTTTACACCAGCACAAAGATGATTTCATTGCTATAGCTTGTTACGGGGACCCTTGAGCACCCCTTGGGTGGGGGAGAGTTGGTGCGGAGTCACGACACAGACACTAGGAGTCAGGTGAGAAGCAGGCAGTGCGAGCAGCTGCAGACTCCTTTATTGCAGAAGCAGTGTGTACCTACATACCCCTCCCTGTGTCTCATTGGTCCCCGATGGTTTCTTCTGGTATTGTCTTCTCCTCCGCA